AAAATAATGAAGTTTACGCAACATAAATGGCAAAGTATAGCTTGCTTCGTTATTTACTAGCAAAGAAATATTGACATCAGAAATTCGCATATGTTAGCATCGCTGACCGTGTCTAAGCTAAAAGCTTGCCTTTGCATCAAACAAAAATTTTCTCATCGCACCATAGAGCTTAAATTATTACTTTGTGTTAAATACCTTTTCAGCACAAACCTTTGAGCGGTACCTTTATGGGAAACTTTCACACAGGACGTAGACTTCACAAAGACCTTATTTGCATAATTTGGGCGCAATTTCGCTATCTTCCAATAATTTAAGTTTAGAAATTTTCAAAGCACTTCAATTTCTGTGGAGCCATTTAAACGGGTCCTTATTATTCTCTTTATTATTTCCCTCCTTTGAAGTCCCCAAGGTGGGATTTTAAAAGAACAAAAGGAATTGCTTAGAGCTGTATTGAAAGAGGCAGTTGAACAATTTCAAAGTTATTACACAGCTATGGCTGGGTCCTTAGAATAACTAATATTTCTGTTCTTATCTTTTAATTAGTGCTATTCATTAGTGCAGCTGGCAAAATACAGCTTACCTTAGTCACTAATAAGTTCTGCAAGGTTTAGAAGCTCGTCTAAGCAACCAGAAGATGTGGAAATATTCCTCAACTGAGAAACGTTTTTCTTCAATACGGCCTGACATACAGGTGTAGAGTCGGGAAAATGGGTTAGAAAGCTTTTTAATCATCACGAATCCAACACGAAAGTAATTCTAGAAGAGAAAATCGTAATGTTCGTGTCTCGTCTTTCTCTATCATCAAATTTTTCCTTGTCTGTTCTTATTCAGCTTTCCATAAAAGTGGTAGAAGCAGACTTTCTAATTCCTTCTAACCCGTCTTGTCAATTTAAAGTTATTGTTCCTAGAAATTTAACTGATAATAGGATTACTTTGATTTTGCATAAAGAAAAATATAAATTTTCCGTCTTCTTTATGAAGGATGGAAAAGGCATTCTAGGAGTATTTTCTTCCAAAAACAAAAATGAATAAAACTACAAGGACATTTAAAATGAGATGAATGTTGACTGCATCTGAATTCCACAAAGAAATATTGGGAAAAAAGCCGAGTAATCAAAACTAAGGCTTTTTTTCGCGAATAACATGACTGAAATTCAAAAGGTCTCATTAAAACGTTTTAGTATACTACGACTGATAATGGTGGTAAATGTCTTAGATCAGAAAGTGGCTAGCTTTGTGGCTGTTGTGATCTGAAACCGTGGTATCATAAAAGTCCGTTCACTGTCTTAAAAATTCATATTGGTTTCTGATTATACGTATTGCTCACAAATGACATAACTCCAGTTGCTCTTCTAGTTCTCGAAGCAAAGGTCTGAGTGTCTGCCTTAGTTTCTTATCAGTTCTGCTAAGGTTTTGAAGCCCTCCTAGGCAACCAAAAAAGCGAGAAAATTTGTGAACTAGTACCAAGCAACGCTTCCACTCCATACGGCCCGACATGTACATGGCCTTGACTGTTCTTATTATTATTATTATTATTATTAGCAGAAAACGAATGACGATAGGACAATTGGATGAGGATAGGAGGCTTGAAATAATGGAACAAGATAAAGATTTTTTCACGGGCGCCAATAAAAAAGGAAAAATCCGAGTTCTTTCCAAAGGACTTAAGCCCAACCAACCACCAATTGCACGGTGGGAACATCTACACAGGGCTCAAAGGGAAGCTAAGAAAGCTATACTCAAAGTTTCTTTGAGAACAGCGTCCTACATATTGCTAGCTGAAGTCGAGGGCTGCCGGGTAGTTGACAGAGTTAAGGAAAATGCAATACAAATGTCGATCCAGGTGATCATATCTTGCAACTGGTTTTTGTGAAATCGCCGGCAGAAGTATGGAATATGAAGGTCAAAAGCAAAAACGCCAACCAAAACTCACAGATCAATCGCTTTGGTTGTTCATGTGGTACAATAAATGTTGGGCTATCGACCATACATTTTACGGGAAGGTTTCAGGTAGAAATCATTATCGACCTCTTATCAAACTTCTGACTACCAACTAAAAAGAGGTGCGCCAAATTACGTGAATTTGCGAAGTCCAGCCACTTTGACCGATAACATAATCAACTCCACCGTTTTGTAACGTAAACAAAAACAAGCCTATTTTGTTGTCACCAGTGTATGTGGAATCGTAGTTTAGAAGTCATGTGACGCTCAAACAACAGGGCCCTACCAAACACAGTCAACCTCACCCGGGCTTAATGTCAATTTTTACTTAAGTTTTAAGGCTCTGTAAGGAGATTTAGCTCTTATACGCGCTCTTCTATTTGAGAAATTAAAGCAAAGGTTAGCTTTTAATCCTAGATTGACGTTAAACCCATTTTGAACACTAGTACGCAATATTGACAACTCATGGTGCCCCGGATGCCCAGAAAAAATATTATGTAGCTTGTTAACTATAAAGAGACTACTGAGCGCAAAGCTTTTTGTTCATTGCATTACTTTCCAAACGAGATGTAATTATAATTTGAACTTCAAAATTTTGTGGGAACAAGTAGGTTTTTCTTGGCGGGCAATGTTGGTTGGTCGAGAACAACCGTACAAACGAAACTCAGTTCATTCGATTACAGAATCGCTCCAACGAAAGATAACGCTCGAAACCTCAGACTTAGATTCTCTTCATGACGGCTAGTTCTCGTTATCATCTGAGTTGGTAAAACCAAATAATCTTGTAATAACCCTTACCGAAGCAGAACTACGTTCTACTTTCGAAAAGTAACCTCCGTATTCACTTGGAGAGCAAAAGATTTGAGACATTTTTTGTGCTCTACGCTGGTGGCCATCTATTTGCATATATTTCCTTGCAACTGGCGCTATCGTCACCTTTCTGAGCTCAAATTTAAGTAATGGTAGTGTACAAACTGAGGAGAAAATTAAAAGCTGTTAAGGGTATTGAGGTTGGTTTATAGAGAGAGAGTGGCTCACCAGAAAGGCCATCAGTGGTACTCAACGTAATTTAAAGTGGAGAGCGCAACAGAAGCAGGCCACCGTTGCATTCTAGGTATGAAGAATAGGAAAATTTTTCCCGTTGATTCCAGTCTACATCAAACGTTAAAGTTAAAACTACTAAAGAATGCTACATCAGCTGAAAAATCAAATTTTATGATCATTTGGAAAGACGCTTTCAATACAATATTGAGACCGTAATTTAATTTTACCTGATGAAAAAAAAAATAAATAAATAAAAGGGAGAAAAGGAAAAGAAAAGGTCACGAATAGTCTTTCTCGACAGCTATATGAGTCAACTACCCAAAGTAACAGGAAATAAGGTTCCCTTTACGCGGGAAAATTGAAAGATTGAACTGAATTAGAGTTACAGATGTGCGAGATTCTATAGCAGCTGAACGCTCAGGGAAGGAAACTGGCTTTGTGTCGGCTCCTGAAACTCAATACTTCTGAATACATATTTAAATTTGAAGTAAGTCGAAGAGGCTTTAGCGTCAAACCACCGCGGAAATTAAGTTTCAAGAGGTAATAGTTCCGTATTCAGCGCGCCTCGCCATGCGACAACCTGGACGGCGAGAAAATTAGGGTGTACTTGAGTTCAATAAACAATTATGCGACATGTGTGAAAATTTCTCTAAGTTCTTCATGATCATGCTTTATATGAACACTTTTCCCACTTGATGAAGTTTGTTTTGAGGACACATTTTTACGACTTTCATTGAGATTTGAATATAAAACTGATTGCTCGAGGAAAACCATTATAAAGCATTACCTGTCATTTACACGAAACGAAGCCTTTGGAACTTCACTTTACGCGGAAAAAAAAGAACTGAAAGTCATTTTGTCGCTACGATTACAGAAAAAGAAGAAAAAGAAGAAAATAATCACCCAAGGTTTACATTCATCGCTATATTAAGGCTTTTTTCTATTACGTTCTGTTTTATTCTCTTGATTCGAAAGCAATAATCGTAGATAACAAAGAACGTGACAGGCAAAAGGAGAAACAGGACCTTTTTTTCGTGTGTGATGAAGATAACAGACATTAGGAAACATGAATGTTTTGCCAGGTGCTTGTTTGATAGGTTATTGGTTTTCGCACATACTTGCCAAGAATAAATTCACCTCGTTTGCCAAGGCATCAAAGACGATTTCGCGATTGAGTCCCTTGAAATTGCGCGCGTTTATAAGCTTTTCATTATAGGACAGTAAATAAACCAGAGAAGACGAGATATGTTTTCATCAGCGGGGTAAATGAATTTTCAATGGATCGTTTTACCGAAAGACTTTAGCGGATACAATGCGGCAATCCTTGCTGTTGTAGTAATATTTCAAGAAATTGGCAAAGTAACATGCCATTCTCTATCTTATCTAATTCCATTTATTCTCGCTTGATACCTAAAAGGCTAGGAAATGAAAATTTCTCGCACACGGACGAGAGAACGATGAGCCCTTTTATTTTCATTTTAATTAACAACTGCAAGCTCATAGTACAGAGAAGGTTTTTTGATAAACCTTTAACAATCGTGAGCCTAAAACTGCGCTGATAGTTGGTAAAAATTCAGTTTGCCTCTCCAACAGCTTTAAAACCTAATAAAATATTTTAAGGAAGGTCGATGAAATCCTTAAATCTAAGGGGAAATATATGGTATTTGTGTTGAAAAGAACCTTTTCTACCAGTACCCTAAAATTACCTCGAGAAAGGCCAAATAGGGAGCACTATGTTTAATTTTTTTCTATGTATCTGCAAAGGCAAAAAATAAACTATAAGATGAAAATAAAAGTCACAATTAAAACTTTTTCCGTTTCCATAAGGAACGTGATACCCTGGTAAAACGAAACGAATGTTAAGTTGCGTTGCTGACTATTTCAACGATGTTTTTAGTCCACTTGGATATCCTACGAATTAAGTCATCACCTCGGTGATTAAAGAAAGCGAAAAGTGGCACACTGCTCATACCATGCTTTACTTAATGATGACTTCGTAATTCCTTCGATTTCAGATGGTATTGGGAGGCTGATGAAAACCTTGATGACCATTTAAAAAAGAAAAAGAGGGTAAGAGGAAAAAAAAGAACGAACAAACAAACACGCCACAGACAAAATGGGAACTAGGCCGAGGGAAATGTGTTGTTCGATTCATCTTTCCAACTTCACTCCCTCAATCTTCAATCGTGTGTGCCTTACCATTTGAAAAACGAGCCTCATTTGCCAAAGAGAATGTCTCAATTGGTACCCTTAATATATCGGACAACACCTAGTTGGTTGTAAACGCTACACTTGGAGAGATTTTCCTGTAATTTCTTTCGCTTTTTTTGACAAGTTTTGAGAGGACGGGAAAGAGTAAAATACTTTGTTTTATGTAAAATCTAAACAGTGCGTACATTTAATCATATCATAATCGAAATGAATATGATTTTTTTTTTTAACTTTCTTTTCTCCCCAGATTGGGTTTGTATGCTTGAATTAATACCGCGTGTCCTCTTCAGAAAGGTTCTAATCATCCAGGCGAACAAAAGTTATTATCTGATTGTTTGAATATCTAACCGGAAATACTACCCGGCCTCAATAAATGAGGTAAAGATCGTATAAATATTGTCTGTCAGGTCTTTAAATTATGCGGGCAGGACGCACAAATGAAACGAGAACTCCAAGTACGAAAAATAATACAGTGGAACTCAGCTGACTCGAACTTAGTTAACTCGAGTTCGAGTTAGCTGTTTTCCTTGTGACTTAAAGTTAAACTGAGTTATAGACATGTTAAGAATGTAAAAGGGAAAATTCCAAAGCATTTCAAGTTCATAAAAATAATATAAATTTCTACCCTTAACACAAGATCGTCTCTGAAACTGGCATAAAATAACCGAAACAGGAAAAACCTAAATAAAGAGAATAACGTAGAACGTTATAATAAAAGTGGACGTGTGTTGTATTCAGTGAAAAAATATAATTAAAAAACGTTTAATTTAATTCAATTTTCAAACTTCAATCATTCGATCAAACTGTCAACATGAAATTAAATATTTCACTGCTTTTGAAATTCTAGAACTCTCAAATGACAAGACAAAGAATTATTAAACAACGGTTTGCCATTGGCGGGGATTTTTAAGAGGAACGACAGGTTGCTATCACTGAAGTACAGCAAGCAATGAGGCAAGAAGTCGAGAGACCTTCATCCATCTAACAACTTTGAAGAGCACTACCAAAGTGTCATACAAAAAGTTCTCGCTAGCTCAGTGGTTGTGCATCAGATTGCGATATGGGAGGGTTTGAGCTTTGGGTCCTCGTGGGGTCACACATTTTCTTTCATTCCACGCTCGCAAAAACTGCCAAGCATCTGTATTCATTTCAAATTTACTATCTTAATTACTCGATTTACTACACCGTTCAAGACCAGCAATTCTGGTGCTAATTCTATAGAGACCAAAAGGTTACTTAACAATCTAACAAATATAACCCCCCCCCCCTCCAAAAGAAAAAAAATGGATCAATATAAAATTTAAAAGAATATCGCAAAATATATTTTCCCCTCTATTTCCTTAGAACAGGGTTAAACGAATTAATATAATCTATCTTGTTCCACAATTAATTCTCATGAATTGGAACACAAAGTTTTAAGCGGGAAGCGCCTGGTAAATCCAAGGGAGGCGATATCTGAAAAAGGCATTATCCAACAGATGATGGAAATTACCTCCAAGTAGGTGTAGTTATCAAGAATCTGGGGCAGATTATCTGACCACACCATATCAACGGTATAATAGGACGACTTTTCAACTTCCTTTCTTTTCTCCGCTTTAACAATTCACTTAAAGCCAATGTGGCAGTATATTACATGTTGATGGTCGTTTTGAAGCGTCATCCTTGGTACTTTTTATGACAGGGCATATTCTGCTATAATTATGAAAAAGAAATTGTTTTCAGGATATGTTCATATGTGTCTTTCGTCTGGACATGTTCCCTTGTATTGAAAGACTAAGTTTTCTTCGTTCGTGACTCCTTTGTCCCACTCCAGGTTTATTTCATAACTGACGAAGACTGTTCAAACCAAACCCGTGATAGGTGACCAACTTCGTCTTAGAACAATAGAAAGACAACGCCTGATACAGGCTAAAGGCGAACAGTCTAGGCGAAATCTTGTAAACGGCACATGCAATTGACGCTCACTGATTTGACTAAAAATTTGTGATGAGTGCGATGATGATTACATTGATTCAAAATAGTGAGAATTTACCACAACTTAAGACACTCTGAACTAAATACCCAATAGCAGAAACCATTAGTAAAGCTACCCTGAGGAATAAGGAGGCATTCATTCACTCGATTCACCTTCACTTCAAAGCTTTATTTTCTCTTCAAATTTCATACTAAGTTAAATGCATTTTAAAATCCTATTCTATCCACAATGAACATTAAAGAGGAGAAAAAAATATTCTGGACTATTTTTCTTTCTAAGTATTGTTAACGAAATTGTGTGCTTTGGTAAAGCAGTTATTAAATTCATTATTTCTTTTCAAGTGTGTTTTGTGTTTTAATGAAGTCTTCTTGCCAAGGAAGTTCAAACAAAGACTGAAAACAAGATTAATTAAAATGCTCCATTTGCAGTTAAAGAACAGGATATCCATCTCACTGAATCGCTGAATGCTTTGTTAAGAATTAAAATTCGAAAGAGCCCTAAAGAATAATGGTGGAATAAAACCTTTAAAACGTCCGTCATGAACAGTAAATCAGTTAAGTAATTCCGATTCAGTTTCAACTAAAAGCAGGGAAATTCTATAGCCCTGACTGGTTGTTTAAATACAATGTTACCTCACCTGGTAAAACTCTTTAGAATGTTGGAAATTTAAGTGGGTCTTAAACAGTATCTCGCAGTTCGTCAGAGTGAAGCACTTTAATATTGTACTAAAGGAGAAAGGCGAGTGAAATGACCATTAATGACAATTTATGTCTGTTAGGAAAAACAAATAAACTGCAAATTGCTGCCAGTATTTGACAACTTTTTCCTACAATAACGTGCACAATGAGGAGTTATCAAAATTAACCTTCTTTCTAAAGGAACAAAAGTGCCAGGACGAGCCGTAAATCTTCCATTAGCAAACTGATGTGTTCCTTTGCTTGATCTCTTGAAACATTTTTGAGCATTAAGACCGCAGAGGGACGAGTGAAAGAAAAAGCGAATGAACTAACAATAATCTTCTTAAATGTCATCAGTCATTTTCAAGGTAAGAAATACAACTCATTCCTTGGAAACTTGAGGGGCCCAATTTATGAGAGATAACGTGTCTGTTCAATTGATTTTGTCTTTTTGTGGCAAAGAAAATACGTATAGTGCTTTTGCTTGAGCACGATTTTTAACTTATTTCTAAGATACAGAGTTTTAAAATGACTTTGTAGTCACAAAGATTGATTGCAAAAAGGGCCAAACAACATCTGTAACTTAAGAAAGTCTCTTGACATCGATGTTTCGATTTAAAAGTGACATTCTTCTGCTGAAATAATCCGCTTCTTCAATTTAATTCCTTGAACCTCTTTCTGTAGCCCTTAAAAATATCGCTATAACTTCACCGATTGGCAAAGACCTAGCTATTCATCAAGTACTTTTCAGAAACACTTCAACATGTTTCTTTTTCTTCCTCTTTTTCCTTCATATTAGTTATGTTAGTAATGTTATTATTGATATTGTGATTCCTATAATAATTATTAGTATAATTTCAGAGCTGAGCAAAGAGTTTCCAGCAATCTGATTGGTCGAGCGGTTCCTTATATGACGCTTTATTATATGGCTGTGTCTCACAAGGACTAGGAACTACCGAATTCACGAATTTGATTGGCTGAAATCAATATTGAAAGCGGTCTAGATTTTCCCATCTAGACCGGCATCTAGACCGGTCTAGAAAAAAAGGTACAAAGAATATAAAAAATTGGCATATAAGACACAGCCATATAATAAAAATCTTCTTAACCGAGCTAGGTCGGTCTTTATGGGAGAATCTTGACCTCGGTCGCTGGTACAGACCTCACTGCGTTCGGTCTGTATTGGCGACCTCGGTCAAGATTCTCCCATACAGACCTCCCGCTCAGTTAATAAGAGCTAAATATATACCGCTCCACGCGGTTTATACAAAATGTTAATGTAAAATGTTAATAAATGTTCCTAAAATGTTATGATTTTAGAAATTTCTCTGTTGGTCATCTCTGAAATTATACTAAAACAATTATTCGCCACAGGTTCGGTGAATATTGTCGAATAATGCCCTCGACTTCGTCTCGGGGATTATTGGACGATATTCACCTCGCCTTCGGCTAATAATTGTTAACTATTAGAGGGGGTGTTGTCTCCGGGAATATTTTAAGGTGCTATGCTAAACATGGCTCAGGTAGTTTTTTCCAACAGGCATTTCAAAAGTTTTTAACCTAAAGACACGTTTATTACAGCTACCTCGGTTTCGTAGATTATTGGTCAGAAAGTTGGACATAGGTAAGGTTATGAATTAGCTACCACTTCGAATTACAGAATATTTCAACGCAAAAACAAACTGATGCGGTTCAAAATAACTATCGCTTACACAAATCAGAAATAATATACTAATAACAATAATGATGATGATGATTATAATAGTGGTGGCATGGTCGAACGTGTTTTAAGCAGCACTGTATTAAAGCGGTCACCATGAACTCAGAAGTCAGTCTTCAAATCCCCGAAATTTTCATTCCTTCGTTCATGTGATTTTCACGTCCATTAAGAATTTTTATTTTAAAGAAAAATTCAATCCATATTTATCCTCCTAAAGCAATGTTCGTAGTATTTTTGTGGGAGCCATAGCCAATTCAGCCATAAAATGGGTTTTTTTTTCATAATTCCTTTCTAATACCCCTCTTTTGAAGAACCCGTATTAAGCGGTCACCACGCCATTCCCCGTGGGTGACCGCTAATACAGGTGTGACTGTGTCAAACTCATAAACAACGATAGCTTTTGTTCAACATTTCCTGATATTATACCAAAACAAAATATTCCAAAAGAGGTCATCAAAACTTGTTTGAGTCAGTTAAAACGGAGAATTAAATATCATGGATCCTAACTAGCTTAATCGTGGCTTATTTTATTCCCTTCCCCTTTTTCTTTTTCTTTTCTTTTTTTTATTTTTTCAAACCAGTATGCTAACTATTGCACAACCTGCTAAAGGTCTGACTCCTGCGGACGATCGTGCAAAGTTGCTCCAGTAAAATAAGACGTGTTCTGGGACAATTTCATCACACTACTGCGGAAAACAGCGTTCGGTGTTTTCCACTGACTAATACTGGCATAGGTTGGGAAAAAAAAGAGCTTTCAACATACACCGCAATCCCACGACGGAGTTAGGCCGGAAAGAATTGCAAATTGTAGGCAAGTTTTTCAGTGTGAATACATTTTAACTTATGATTGAACGCACATTTGTGAATGAGAAAGAGATCTTTTTTAAGCTCGCTTGCTCACCTATCTCTTTCCATTGTAATCTGAGTTGATCTGCTCGTCACTGAGAAATCAAATCATTTCGCTCGACCTCGGCAAATGATCCACATCTTACTAAAAGCGACGTAACATTATTCGAAGGGGAATGGCACTATACCACTCACTAAATCCTCTAATTCTTTCTTCAACCAAGTGTACTTTTGTCACAGTCTAACGGTTTTATAATTCCGTTCCATTATCTTGCAAATCACTACTGAAGAGAGCGAAGTCTAGGCAAAAGATTCTTGAGCATAGGTTTTTTCTTATCACTTGGATGAAACGTCAACAGAATATCCCTAAAACTCAGTAAACATGTAAATCTTCGCAACTTTACACCTTCCAACTTAACGATTTTAGCTGTGTAGTTGTTTCTTTTCCTTTCATCACAGAAATTTCTATTGTCTATTTGTTGCCAAAACGTGGCCACTGCTTTGAAAAAAAAAAATTTTTTTTCGCTTCCAAATCGGATCTTATGTCTCTTTGCAAAGGTTTAGTCCGGGCGAATTCCAAGCGAATAGAGCATTTGCAAAGATGCAATAGGGTATCACAGAGAGGTTTCAGATCTGAGTGTTCAGAAGTTTAGAAATACCTCTTGTTCCTTTATTTCAAGTGTAAAACAGACAAAAAAAGGGTCTTATTTCAAAAGGAAAGCAAAGATGCCAAACGACAAAATGATAGGTTGTTACAAAAAGAGTAATTAGTGCATATTTGAAAAACGGCATTGTCCTTGATATAGTTAAGCAATTTATAAAACAATTCAAAGGCAGAAGTACACGGCTCCATACGTGATACACCGTTGATCAATTAAGGCGGAAATAGCTAGCACTGGTTTTTTAGATCACTGGAGCCATTCAATCTATTTACCTGCAAGTGTGCACTTCAACGCACATGGTTCCAGGTTTACCTGTTTCACGAATGTCTTGGATAAAATCTGCTAATCTTTGTTGTCTACCGCCTCTAATTGCTTTCAAAACCCACCGTTCAATTAGTGACAATCACGTTCAAATCCCTGATTCTTAGTTAATTAAAAAAAAAAAAAAAAAGAAGAAATCTCTGCATTTCTTAAGGCAGCTACCAGTTTGTATTGTAGAGAGAAGGCTGATTGACGCATGCGAGGCAAGCATAACCGCAGGAGCAACACTCAGATAATAACCTGTTCATTGTAAAGGCCTTTGGTCGTAGTTTTATCCCTCAAAAGGCTGTAATTATTATCATTATTTTGTATATATGTGTTTTGTTTGCGTTTATGCTTGCGTTGACTGTTTTGACCGATCAACCATGATCTGTAGTCTTCCTTTTAAAATTGATCAGAATCGGTTGCTTCCAACTATTTCTGCAACTTAACCCGGTAAAAAGGAAAGCGGTAGAAAGAGAAGCAAGAAATAGTGAGGATAAAAATGCGTTAATCGATAAGCACATCAAGTTAGCTTAACTGTTTACTGGTGTTTTGCTTTGTTTACATAAAACCCCTTGGGCACTTCATGCGCCCCTTGACTTTTATACTTTTGCAACCGAACCAGGAGTCCAAGATCTTGACTGCACCTACGAATATAAAACCGCTGTTGTACGATAAATTTCTATTTCGACAAGTCCTCCCCAGTTAGCAAATTTCAATGGTAGAGACCATCCGTAGATGAACAAAATATAATCTCTCCCTTGACAACTCCCAACTCCACCTGCCAGTTTTCGAACAAGGAACTCTTGCAACAGAAAAACGTATTGATATGAAAATAGGCTCGTGAGAGACACTTATCAGGTAATAAATTAAAAAGAAAAAAGATCAGAGGAAATTATACTCCGATAAAATTTCCTTGTTTAGAGTTGAAAAGTTCACTTAGTTTATAAATTTTGTGAAAAGAACGTCCATCACAAGTCCTCCAGTGGAAGAAATCTCCCAGCGGAAATGCAATTCAAAAAGAGTACTCCTTAACGCTAAAAGAAAAACGAAACACATAAGTGTACGACTTAGGGTCATTCAATTAAAGCGATAGCAAGGAAAACGGTGGATAACTTTGGAGCTTAGTTTTATGATACTTACGCGTCCTTGGAATCCTTACATCCATCCACTGCGTCTTGCTCAGCGTCGGGTCTCTCGTCAAATTGAATGCTATCTAGCTGATATAACTCGACGGACCGTAGAGAAAAAAAATAAAATTCTCAGGAAAGGCCATGTCGTGGAGGCCTTTGACATAAGTTGAAAAAGTCCTGATATAAAACATCACTATGCCGCTTGGCAATCTTCTGATTGGTGGTGTCAAGGCTTTCTTGGCTGTTTTTCTTCCATTTGGGTGCAATTCCTAAGTTCTTAGCTCTGTTCCTTTTCGTAATAGCGAATGGTCAGAATCAAGAGTGCCTCAATTAAACGTTAACGCGA